ATATGTGCATGCATATCTACAACTATGTTTGTGTATGCACATATATGTAGCATATATTATATAAGTATAAACGTGTGTGTGTATATATATATATAAGAATGCACTATCAAAATAAAGGATTAACTTGAATATCTACATATTAAAAATAGAAGGCTATCAAGTTGATGTTACTATTTCTTGGTGCCTTGAGAAGGGAAATTTAATCCTTCCCTGTGCTACATTCAAACGAGCATTTAGATTATCAGTCTGCATCCATCCTTCCTACACCTTCACTGTTAGCTGACTGGTCCTTGCTTTTAGCTTAATAGATGGATGGCCTCCCAAGGGTGTTAGGTTATTTATAATAGGCTTGGTTTTGCTGTCTGTGTGTTGAGGGAGGAGTAGCTCTCGATAACATGTTTTACACCTAAGTTAGGTGCTGTGTAGAGCTCCAATATTATCTGTGAAATTTTTGATGTATTTTAATCCCAAGTGATCCACATCCATTACACTTCCTCAAGGACAAAATGGGCCAGCTGCATCCCAGCTGTCTATTGGGAGTGGTCCTTGGCCCTTGTTAACCCCAGAACTGAGCCAATGAATTGTTTGAGGCATTGCTACTAGGTAAAGGACAAAATTATCAGAGGTTATTCAAAAAAATGTTGCAGGATATGTATGTCTGAATCCCAAAGCCCAGTAACATTCTGAGGCACTGTTTAATTTAGTAGCATACACAAAATCACTGTGTTATGATGTGTTCCTTAGAAATATTGCCTCTTTGGAGCACCTGTATTTCAATTCATTCCTTCCCCAAAATGAGCATTTGCCTTGTTCAAAACAGTTAGACAATCTCACCTCTTGATCCTCAGCTATTCTTTCTTAATGGAAAACCGTTTACTCATAGTTTTTCATGCACACGTACTAAGCAGAGGAACACTTTCTCAGGATAGTGACAGTCTAATCTCTGAAAAATAGTAACTGATAGCAAGGAAGAGGCTCATCTTTAACTTCAAGCAACTTACACATCAAAACTGGAAGCCTGGACAGAGCAATGGGACTCCATTCAGATTTCAATCCTCTAAAAGCATATTTGGCAGTCTTACCTCATTCTGCTGGTCTATGTCTTGTTCCAAGCTCCATGAAGCATTTGATTTGAATTTGCTTTTCATAACAAATGACTCTGCAAAGAGCACACTTACTTTATTTCAATTATTTCTTCTGTCATTAGAAAACTGGGCAGAATAAAATTTATCTGACGACATTTAGCTGTGCTATTTCAGAGACACCTTAACAAAGTGTTGCTTCTGTTGGAGTGTAGGATTCCCACTGTTCAGATAACTGGTATATGAGGAAGTATACAGTCATAGGAATGGTGTTTCCACATATTGCTTTCTGTGATGGTGTTATTTCTCCCTATATCTAATTGGAACATTCAGTCGTCTACAGTTCCTTTAGCTGTTTTAGAATAATAATAATTTTAGAATAATTTTAGAAGTGTTTATTTTATTCCATGATCTTTTGATTTAGAAAGATAAATTTAGCGACTTTATCTATGTCAGTTAAAGTCACTGCAGAGAAATTGAACTGGGCAGAACAAGGAAGAAAGAACCCACATGATTTGTTGTTATCATAAGAAATCAATTTATCCTCAATGTTTGGACATGACATTTTTGACATGCATAGAAAGACACTGCCTAGATTGAGAAAAGTAAGGTAATTAAAGTTTGTCTTGTATTCCTTATCATGTAATATAAAATCTAAAATATTCATAAACCAAGTCAGAATTAATTTCCATGACATCTGAAGTGATTTAATAGACACCAATGACAGGAGTTTCACTGAGCTTGATGACTGTAGCTTATTTTCAATGAAGTATTCATGTTACCATCTAGTGTCTTGAAGTTTCTACTCATCTTTGCAGCACGTTTCTTTTCAGGCAGTGGAGGAAGCTACTCATGTCTTAACATGACAGTTTTTCTCCTGGTACACACATTCCTATGAACTTAAAGTCAAAACATTTCACTATTTCAGTTTCCATCGAGCACTTTGTTGTCAGATAGCTGTTTACAATATCACATATGAAGGAGGTATCTGTAGCACAACTACAGATTAGGCATTGAAATATAAGAATATTTTTTGTGTTTGCAATTACATCTTCTGGAGCAATCAAAGAATCAAGTCAAATGAAACTTTTTGGCTTATCTCATTGTAGGAAAATAAAGCCTATGTTTGAAAAGAGAAGTAAATATTCAGACACTAAATTTCAGTGCTCTTCTACGACTGCATTTTTAAAGCAGTGAGATAACTGTATGCCCAATAATAGTAGTGGTAAGATGGCTAATGACTTCTCATGATTCATGGACTAATCTAATTGTCCACTGGGATCATTAAAAATATCCTGCTTTCCTCTCATTTACATCACATTTATGTGTCCAAGTGGCCACTGCTGGAGTCAAGATAGTAGACACCATTAATCCGAATGGCATGATCTGCTGAGGCCAGTTCCTCATTTCTATTTATGCGTTCCCTGTACTGCAGAAAACCACTTGTGCTTTATAACTTACAGAGGAAAGAAAGAGAAAAGAAATTTGACTTTAGATATCCCCTTTAACATATTTCATCAAAAGAGTGGATAAAATATTTATTCAGCTACTGTCCTTTGCATTCCCATCAAAGTGAATAGAGAGACATTTAATAACACGTAGAAACATTAAAGAAGCTTTTTATCAGAGTGGATGGGAACCTGCTCAGAACAAACATTCTGGCCTAAGGGAAAGTTTTTGATCTGTGAAGCTTAAGCTTTTGGTGCTTAAAACACTCTCATATTGGATCATGTGGTCAATTTGCATGAAATAAATTATTTGCTTAAAACTTGTAAAACTATAAAATAGAACTTGACAAGTCATTAGCAATAAGCGGTATCGCACTGGCATTATACTAACACTGGTGCAGTCATTAGAAAACTGCTACCACAGCAAAGAACAGGAAGATAATGGGGCCTTTGACCTAAACGTGTTAGATCATTGCCCCACACAGTAGATACCACACTGCAGTCCAAAATATTGACTACCCTTCTTCACTACTGATCTACTCAACATTCTGTACCACTGCCCTTTATCATCTTTCACACAAAGCAATTAGTCCAAATTGTAAAATACGTACTTTTTCCATAGACAGATAGGTGATCTAGAAAAGACAAAAAAAAAGAACTAAACTTTAGTCTAGGACTTTAATCAATGCTAGCAGAAAGAATAAGCTTTTTATCGGAGTGGATGGGAACCTGCTCAGAACATTGTAAAATACGTACTTTTTCCATAGACAGATAGGTGATCTAGAAAAGACAAAAAAAAAGAACTAAACTTTAGTCTAGGACTTTAATCAATGCTAGCAGAAAGAATAAGATTATTTACCCATTCTTAATTAATTTTTATATTGCTCTTGTTTTCATTCTGAACTAGGAATTTAATTAATGAAGTTTCTGTATGTTGACAAAGGTTATGGATATAACTTCTGGTTGGAAACAAATAGTATTCAACACCTTGTTAGCTCAGTTTGCAATTTCAAGATTATTTTTTTTAAGACGTAAAGTGTTTGGAAAAACATGGCTAGACATCTGGATTCCTGAAGTTTGTTTACTGCTCATTTTAAGCTTATAGTCATTTTGTGATGAGATTGGTAAATATCCAGTTGTAAATATTGCCAAGATAGAAAATATGTATAAAACCTCAGATTTTTACCATTTGTTTCACAGCGCCTTCAGTGCATTGATTTTGTCAATGTGTCAACATTTTGTCAGTGGCTCAGACATGTGAGTCAAGTTTGAGCAGCTCCTTGTGTGATATTTTATACAAATTACCAGATTAACTAAACAACATGCTTGCAAATTATTTGCCTGCAACCATGCATATGCTGATGAGATGCAATAACATTAGTCCATGGTGCTCAAACCTCACTGCTGTCTTCAAGATGATGTTTTTCTTACACATTCCCCGTGAGTATACATACCTTTACAAAATGAGAGAGGTGTGATACTGCAGTTTCTGAGGCTCATTAAGATCTCAGCTTCTCTTGTGAGTCTATCACCAAGCGTGAGGCATGGCTTTGAGTTTCTGATGTGGGGCTGGAGCTGAGATTTAACAGCCTGATTGCATGTGAAAGTATGTTGGTATGTATGACTGAATCGGTATTAGATTTAACTGCTTGATTGTATTTCACAGGACACAACAAATTGTGCTTTCAAAATGACAATGACATGATAGCTACTGAGCATAAATGCTAGAGAAAGAAATGAAAAGGAAATAAGGAGGCTGCAAACTAGTGCTATAAACCAAAAAATAAGCATAAGTAATATAGGAGTGCAATAGATCTGTTTGGGAATCTTTGGGAAAATGAAGTGAAAAATATTTTGGACAACGCATGGTTTCTGCACCTAGGCTAAGACAGTACGGAAAGTCCCAGTTAAATACTGTGAGAAAGTACAGTTCAACACTCTGAGAGTAGAGGTGTTTCAGTCAGCAGCTGGAATCAGAGGATGTTTACAGTGCATGACCTGATTGGTATTGGCTAATTAAGAATAATCCTTAAGAATTAGAAACATAATAATTTTTACTGGTGCTTCAAGAAGTTCATAATAAGAGGACTTGAGGGAACAACTGAAGAACATTTGTTTGACAGAAGAAAATAATCTTTTACTGTCGAAGAAGCATCATGAATATGTAACCTTATTACCACAGTATTATTCTTCAGTTTTTTAGTCTAATGAAGAAAAATAGAACTGTAAGCATTTCAGCATATGCTTGAGTCACTTGTACTTCATTGATTTAAAATGTGTCTCTTAAAAATAAATTATTTGTGGAGAAATACATTTCCTTCGTATGGTGTCTGGAAGATTATAGCTTTTATGCACAGTGTAATATTTTAAACATGAACAATTCTGAAGGGAGCTCAGCCTCCCAATTAATCTGTTCAGCCTGTTAATGAATACATTTTCTATGCTTCTTAACCTGAATACTCATGTGCAGGACACAAGGAAATGGTACCACCTCGTCTTCTTCTAGAACACAGCCCAAGAAAGAAACCAGCAGCTATTGAAGGCAAGCATGAGTTTTCTCCTCCTTTATTGGCTTCTACTTATTAACTCGGGTCTTGGTTCTAATGGATTTTGTTTATAAATATAACCTGTATTGCCAAACTGATCAAACTATTAGGCCTGGGACATGAATGTAGTACAAAACTTGTGAGTCTTTTCATGTACTTATATGAGAGTTTTCATATAACACTTCAGAGCCATTCAGTCACACACCGTGGCACTTGCTAATCTCTCTCATAGAGGTCTTATTTCTATGTTATCCAGAAAGCAATTGCAATCTAAGAGAAAAACAGACAGAATGTCAGTGGAGGAAGTAACAAGGCCACAAGATTTGCCTGCATTTGGAAATGGAAAGTGAGAATTAGATTTTGGCAGAAGCTATGACTAAAGCAAAGATTTAAATTAATTAGGTACTTCTGTAATGTGATTATTGTTAATCAGAACATTTGGATTAAAATAGTTACGTGACTTATTATCTCTTTCCCCAAAGTCTTTTACCTCAATGAATATTTCTTTATAAACATACTGTTAAAAGGGGTATAAAACTGTGGTTGTTGTGATGCAGTATAGTATATAAATAGATTTGCAGTCCTGTTTATTTTAGGGAAATGTTTGAACCCTGCTTATCAGCAAAAAGAAGTCACTGCAATGTTAAACACAGTTATCCACCAATTAACCATAATGGAAAAAAGACATAATAGAAAAAGACCACTACATTTGCAAGTGATAAACTTAATCTTTAAATATAACTGTTATACAACATGAACCAGCATCAAATTAACATTAAGTTCCTGATTTTCAAAATCATGAGGAGCATGCAATTACTGCAATTGCCCATGGAAATGACTATTTTTGACCAGTTACACATTTGTGTGTTACATTGGCTCCTTTATGCATGCAATTGAGGTAATTGTGAATGTAAATTAGATGCCCATTTGGCAAACAAATTGGGGGGCAGATTATCTGCTCAGAATCATACAGTGAAATTCCCTTTAAGGCTCAAGGCTGGTCACTAGGATACAATACTGTTCATGCAAGAGTTTTGTAGGAAATGAAGAAGGAAGAATTACTTGTAAAAATGCTGCTGTGAAAAACTGTTATATTGCCTTATTATGTGGTTTCCAGATATGAGAAAATCTGCCACAGGTGCCTTTAACAACCCTGAACCCTGAAGCTTTATTTCAGCCCTGGGGAAAATAATTAAGTAATTTGTGGGAATATTTGGCACAATGTCAGAAGGAAAAAAAAAGGAGTAGCAATTTAAATCTCTGAAATAGCGGAAAAGACATCAATCTGTGATTTCTTAATGCTCACATACCTTTATGACTAGTGTATCACTAAATATCACTGGTGATGGAACAGATTAAAACAAAAGATTCTTCTTATCTTAAATATAGTTCTCAGAATAATAGGTTCTCAGAATAGGGAAGAAGTACAAGCATTTGTTACTTTATATAACACAGATAGACTGGCCCAGTCTTTGACAGAAGCAACCAGCTCTGAAAAAAAATAAAACCATAGGAAGTAACAGAACAGCTGTCACACAGAAAACTTATGAAACCAGTGTACTTAGATCCTAGGCTTTACAACCTAGTGATATTCAGACACAAGATACAACACTATGCAGCTGGTAAAGGCTGAAAAAATCTTACTCTTTTTCTAAATTGAGATGTTTTCACTATTGTCCTGTTTTGCCACTGCCTTCTTAAGTAATCTTGGACCATTCTTGATTTCTGATAAGGCAAAAGTAGTGGCAGTATACATGCCAGATATCTCTAACATTTTTAGATTATTTGATAGTTTTAAACAGAAAGCTTTTCCTGGATAGTATCCAATGCTCAGTAGAAACTATGCTCTGCTGAATTTTTCTGGTCTTAGGAAAAGAGTGTATGGTTATTATGTATTAAATCTCAACCTTTCTCTCCTTGTCATTGCCATTTTCTCTTTCTTCACCTCCCCAGAAAGTCTTTTGGAAAAGGGGTGATTATGTCAGACAATCCCTATTTCTACACTATATTCTAGTAGTATGCAATAAATTGCATTGAAGCGTGTGCATGTGAATTGAACTTTCTAGATATCTGCTGGTCAGAAAGCAAAATGCTTTGTACTCATCCGGTCCAAAGGGAAAAGAACAGATCATTGCTCTCCTATTTAATGATTATTTGTCTCTTTTCAAAAAACACTGTTGTCTTGAGATCTTACACTCAAAGTTCAATTAAGAGTTTGAAGTTTCAGGTCACCAACAGACGAGAATAACAAAAATAGAACCAAACCAAACCAAACCAAAAGATCCCGTAACAATAAACAAGAGAAAGAGGGAAAGGGAATTTGTGAAGAGAAAGACATTGCTACATAGCTACTACTTGTTTTCCAGGCTTGGAAACCTTGTTTGACAAACCATGAAATAAAATAACTCAGTTTGAATTCTTTATGTTATCTTTTTCTGGACGTTTCACAAGGACTTAGGAGCAGCACTCTCAGCTTGGCTGACACTCTGATGCTGCCATCTAGGGAGGACATTGGCACTGGCTGTAATTTGAACAGATCTGTTCTCCATGGCTATCTGAACTTTTATTTTGACATGCTTCTTCCTTGACTGTAGTCTTCTCCATCTCTTTTAACTTCAGATTTCTTGTATGCTGTTATCCACTGACATTCTGAAACTACTCTGCAGCGTACATTGATTCTCTGTGAATCTGTCCCTCAGGTCTTGACTTTTTTGCTCAGCTCACATAGCTTTTGGCTTCCTCCATTCACATGGGAAGGACTCCTTTCTGATAGTCCTCCCATGTTACATTCTCTGACATGGCAGGGTAATCTCTCATTTATATGTTGCAGTTAGACAAGAAATGTTGCAAGTAAGTTCCGAGGCTTAGTTAATTATTAGTAAGGCTTCATATTTATTGTTCCAGAATAGCATGTCTTTGCTTTCTCACAAGATCACATTGCCTTTGTGAGAAACCTGTATCAAAATCCTTCTCTAAGTGGAAGGCATCTTAGTGCAATCTGCATATGATCTCAAACAGACAGTATGTCAGTATGCTTTGTATTACCTTGAAGAGCACTGTATAAAAAAAAAAAAAAAAGCCTTTGAACAGCATTGTATCTAAGTGTGATTTTCGAAGTTGTGTTGTCCTAGAAATCGGTGCTTGTATCTTTGAGTGGGAGAGCATTTATCATGAAAAGCCATCAACATAACTACTCTAATTTGTTAATGGTTCATGATGGGCTCTGAAATATCCCTCTCCTTTGATGGAAGTATACTGTCTGTTCTTTGCCATCTTGCTGATATTTGTGATATTAAATGAGGTAAAAAAGGAAAATTTAAAATCTCTGTAATGTCTTTGGAGAATCTCTGGGGGGAAAAAGTGTTTTCTCTAAATCACTGTTTGAATCCCCTAATTACAGATTTTGCAGAATGCAGTAAAGTGAGCTGCTGTGGAATATGTTTAACTTCCTCCAAAACTCCTGCAGAGGCTAAATTGGCATTGAAATAGAAATCTGCATCTATCTTTGTTGCTGTATAGAATGTATACTATTTGACTAGGTTAAGAAAAATTTCTAGTTTCTACCTCAGTTCGTGAATATAACATTAGAGGATATAACCAAGAGTACCTAAATTACTAAAGTTCATACAAATTTTGACAAAGATCTCTTGATGTATAAAGGTGTATAAGTCTTGTATAGTCTGTCAATGGCTGCCTTCTCTTCTGTACACAAATTGTTCTATGAAAAACTTTTTTTCTTTTGTGCTATAAAGTCAATTACATTTTTCAAAAATCTTTCTGGTGAAAGACAGTGATTCAAGATGCAACATAAACCTTTCAAAAATGCAGAATTTTGAATTTTTCTCCAAATTCAGAACATTTTTAATAATTCTGGCGTGATTTGTGGATGAAAATCCGTTTTCTGATAAATTTTAATCCAAGGGAGAACAAAAAGAAATAAGAAAAATGTTTCTGTCAGAATTATCATAATACAATGGTTTTAATCTAGTTTATTAGAAGAAACAGTTTACGTAGCTTTAACAGGGTACAGTATATACAGCACAAAACCAAGACTTTTTGAGAAATATGGGCCCCACATCTCCATGAGTCTGGACTGAAGGCAGTAAAACCTTTGTAATAATATGCAAAAGATGTCAGAGTTAGTTATTTAATTATTTAGATTAGACATTTAACCAGTAAACTCTAATGATTTGGCAATTATGAAAAAAAGCCTAAATCTTCACTGTTTCAGAAAGCCCTTGACATTTTACTTAATGACATGAAGCTCTTCTGAACTACTTTTATTCTAGCTTAAGACAGAGAAAATCAAACAGACATTTGGAAAAAAACTTAATAGAATGTAGAAGAAATTATGTACAAAGATATGTATATTTTGATTAGACATATTATAATGTTTTCTCATTATGATGAATATTAATAATAAACCAATATACAATACTAGATTATGCATTTAAAATATATATTCACCAAAATCTACCCAATAAAACAAAACCAAATAACTCTGAAGACTATTTTAACTTCTTAAAATGTTTTTTGACTGTTATAGAAAAGCAATAATCTTTTGCATATGTTGCACATGCAAATAGAGAATACTTACTTGGATTAAGATTCTTTGGGCTTTCAAAGCCAGAAATTCCATGTTTCTTTGCAAAGAAAAGGGAAACCCTTGCAGAAGAGGTCCTGAATAACCTGTTCATCCCATTTTCCTAAACCTCAGACATTATTGCTCAAAAGCATGCCCCGTAAAAAACATCATCATAAGTCTTCCCAGCGCTGGTAATACAACTGGTGCTGCTGTTGATTCATGTTGCCTAGTGGTAATGTCAGTCATAAGGAGGAAGAAGGCTAACCCTACCGCCTTAGCTGTGCTGGTTTGGCTCTTGCTAGGGTGGGTTGTGCCATAAGAAGTCAGTGTTCCCCGGGGAATTTAATTCTTCATCACAATATTTTCATCATATTTACCCTTGACCATTGTCCAAGGGGAGTTTCTGTTGCT